CTTATGTGTGCGAGCAGTAAATTAATTTTTAGTATAATTGCAGTTACCCTTGAGAAGTAAATTTGCAACTCTGCCGGATTGAATTTACTACACCAGTTAGCCTTGTTTGATGTGCACATCACTCTACATCTGGTTAATGTTCTTGGCTAGCAAGTATTGTACTAATCAATAATGATATCTTAACTTGTTGAGCAGACCTCATTTCCTCATAAACAAAGCTTCTCCAGAAACTGTTTTTAAGCTGAACAATTCTGCACTAACCTTTTATATAGCAATAACATTTTCAGTGATGTTATATGGCATTGTACTACTTATGCCATTCATGAAGTAAAGCATATATGCCAATGTTTGTGCATGACAAACATTAAACAAATCTCAAGCTAGAGTCCCTTAGCTTGTAATTAGTTATGCACTTATTAAATAAAGTACACGGTTAGAATACAACTTGATGTTTAGTTTCAGAAGCAAATAACTTAAGAATTAATGCATCCTCGTAAATCGCAATTAACAATATATAGTTGTAGAGAAAGTAGAATGGATGCCTCACCAATGTGGGGAGGTTAATCTCTTATATATATATAACTGAATTACAATGAATGCTAGTGCTGAGATACAATCAAAACAAGAGAGTTACATAAGACCAAAGGTCTAGGGAGAGTAACTATTTGGGAGTGTCAAGGTCTAGGAGACCAACAGCCTATAGATTAATAATAATCCTAATACCCGCCCGCAGTCGTAGCAGGAGGAGTACGAACACAAAGACTGGACCGAAAATTAGTAAATAACTGAACCGGTAAGCCCTTGGTCATGATGTTCGCGAACTGGTGTGATGAAGGAACGTAAAGCACCCGCACTTGTCCCAAAGCCACCTTTTCTTGGACAAAATGAATGTCCATCTCGATATGCTTCGTCCGATGATGATGCACAGGATTCGCTGTCATGTAAATAGCACTCACATTGTCACAATAGACAACAGTACCCGAAGCAAGTGGGACATGAAGTTTCTGGAGTAGTTGTCACAACCAGCATCACTCGGCAATGGCATGGGCAACAGCACGGTACTCCGCCTCAGCACTAGAGCGGGAGACAGTAGTCTGGCGCTTGGATGACCAAGAGACTAGATTGTCGCCAAGAAAGACACAGTAGCCGAACGTAGAACGATGAGAATTGGGGCAACCTACCCAATCCGCATCGGAGTATGCCGTCAGGGACTGAAGCGGGCCAGAGTCGATGTGGAGGCCGGAGGAGAGACTGCCCTTCACGTACCGGAGGATACGCATGACCAAGGCGAGATGGAGCTCTCACAGATCATGCATGAAGAGGCAGACTTGCTGAACGGCGTAGGTGTTAACAGTGAAATTTGGTAAGCCCAGAGTAGTTATCGGCTTAGAGTCAGCATCGACTTCGAAGTCCTGAGATTAGCCGATGAGAGTTCTCAAGTCGTCAGTTGTCGGATTCTTGCTATATTCGGTTAAGGAAATTGATCTACTAAAAGAAGCTTATCCAGAAGAGACCGAGTTCAAAGAGAATGCAGCATGGCAAGTTATCTATTAATTAGGAATAGTTTGTTAGTTTCCTTTTATCTTTAGGAAAGTGTGTTTAGTGTCCTATCAGGACTTTATCTTTTCCTTTCATCATTAGGAAAGTTTCTTTCTTATCCGACAAGGACTTGTATCAACCCATGGGTATAAATATGTACAGCCGGGGTCTATGTAATCTATCGCTACGATCAATACAATTCGGCGCATCGCCACCTTTTACCTTTTCTACTTTATTTTATCGTCCGGCGGGACTTGGCACCTGACGCGGGGCTGCATCGGTGTTCGATCTCCGATGAAGGGGTAAGTCCAATGTTCCGTCAGCCCAGGCAATTGTATCATCTACGTCGGCGTCGTTCAAGGCTGCATCAGTACATTCGACCTCTTGGATTGCTCTGGTTTGGATGATATATTTGCCTACCTATTTATCATATGTCTCTATTAATCTAGTCTTAGCATATCAATTTAGCTCTATTGGCTGCTTCTCGCTTTAGGGTTTCTGCCGGTATCGGCTAAATCGCGTTGCTAGATTAGATTAGCTTAGACATCTACCACCCTGAAAACTCAGTCAACGGCTTGATTGTCCAGATATTATGTTTCTTTTCATACTTAGTGCTGCATCAGTTATGTTTGATCTACTAAGTCGTGCTTAGAACCATAATCTCTAGCCTTCTTCTTGATTGCCAATAAGGGTTTCATCGGGGTTTCAGCCGGTGAGTTATCTGGACGTTGCATCGGCTCATAAGGATTGCATATACATATAAGTTAGATTTAGCCGATAACAACAAAGGTTTCACTGTTTAATCTAATCTTGTGGATTTCATGACATCGGACCTCTAGCCGATGTGTGCTTTAACCTTCGGATCGGTGCTTATTTATCACATCATTGCTAGCCGATTGGTTTATACTGGATTATATTGTTATTTTATTACATCATCATCATCAGCTGATTGCCTTTATATCATTATCTACATTGGACATATAGCCGATTGCTTAAACCCTATCACTATCGGCTGGTATCGGCATCGGCTATTATCACTATCGGCTGGAACTACTCCATCGGCTTGTCAGCCGATCGGCTATTTAATCTACTGTTTACATATCTTGTCTGTTGTAGGGTCAAACTGACTGGCACGCCCGCATCTCATCATATTTGGACCTGCATTGGAGCTAAGCAGATCTCCCAGGCCAGTGTGTTCGATTTTTTCGTCAACAGTAGGCCAAATCCAGTCGAGTCAGCGTGAGGTACTGTAGAGCACCAGCGATGCTTCTGTACTCCGAAGGGTCGACGACAGGCAGGCCGTCTGTAGCAGAGAGCTTCGCACGAGTGTCCACTGATGTCGAGGTAGAGTGGCACTCGACCATGCCGACCTGCTGAAGAAGATCCACAGCATACTAGCGCTGCGAGAGGAAGAGGCTGTCGGAGGAGCGTGTCACGGAGATGCCGAGGAAGAAGTGGAGGTCACCAAGGTTTGTCATGGCAAACTCGAAGTGGAGGCGTGTCGTAAGTTACTGAAGTAATGTCGTGGTCGAAGCGGTGAGGATAATGTCATCGACGTACAGCAGAAGATAGGCAATGTGATCTCCATCTTTGTAAACAAAGAGAGATGTATTGGATGCTGAAGGCATAAAACCCATCTGTTGAATATACCTAGCAAACCGCTGGTACCATGCACGAGGAGCCTGCTTGAGACCGTACAGGGACTTCGGCAATAGACAGACAGCATCAGGGGCAGCAGGATCAACAAACCCGGAGGGTTGCTGACAGTAGACGATCTCCTTTAGGTGACCATGAAGAAATGTGTTCTTCACATCTAGCTGATGAATCGGCCAAGCACGGGAGGCAGCGATGCTGAGAACAACCCGTATTGTGGCTGGCTTGACAACCGGGCTAAATGTCTCGTCGTAGTCGATGTCGTGCTGCTGGGAGTATCCACGGACTACCTAACAAGCCTTGTGGCGGGCAAGTGAGCCGTCAGAGTGGAACTTGTGCTTAAATATCCACTTGCCCATCACAATGCTGGCCCTAGGGGGGCGAGGAATGAGACGCCAAGTGCTGTTGTCGACCAACACCTTGTACTCGTCGGCCATGGCAGTGCACCAGTTGGGATCAGCCAACACACTGCGATAGTTGGCCGGAACAGGAGAGGCGGTGGCATGGGTAGCTGTGTAGATCAGCCGGTCAACCGGCCGTAGGGAGCCAGTCTGGGAGCATGTCACCATGGAATGCGGTTGAGGAGCAGCAGCCACGTCAACCACATGGGCGGAAGACGATACCGGGACCGTCGGAGCAGGCGACGGCTGTAGACATGACGAAAGGGTGACACGATGGTGCCGCGTGGGTGGTACCGGCCGATGGGGCAACACCGGTCGAGGAGGCGCCGACCAACGGTGTGCCAGCCGTTGGGGCGCAGCTGGCCGCGGTGACTGTGTCGTCCGGCAAGCGTCGGCCGAAGAGGGGAATGTACGGTTGCTCAACCTCTGTGGAGGGAGCCACCGTATGGGGTCGCGGTCGCTCAACCTCCGAGGAGGGAGCCACCTTGAGAGGTCGCGGTTGCTCCACCTCCGAGGATGGAGTGACCGCTAGAGGGAGTCCCTGCAGCAAAAAATCAAAAGACGAGGCATTAGGGAAATCGTGATTCATCAAAAACGATGTGGCGCGAAATGATGATACACCGAGTGGAGAGATCGAGACATTGGTATCACTTGTGGGAGGCCGGGTACCCAAGAAAAATGCAAGCTGTCGAGTGAGGGGCAAGCTTATGTGGAGTTGTGGCACTCAAGTTTGGGTAACAAAGACAGCCAAAAACCCAAAGGTGGGAGTACTCTGGAGTGGTGCGATGTAGAAGCTGAAAAGGCAGTGAGTGGTGAACAGAGGAAGAGGGTCTCCGGTTGAGAAGGTAGGTGGCGGTAGCGAGAGCCTCAGCCTAGTACGACGGAGGCATGGAAGCCTATATAAGAAGCGTGCTATGGAGTTGTTGATGGTGCGGAGCATCCGTTCGGCTTTTCCATTTTGGGAGGAGGTGTAAGGGCAAGAGAGTCGTTGCTGGGTGCCACGGCTGGCCAGAAAGGTAGTAGTGGCGGTATTGATGAACTCTCAGCTATTATCAGCTTGAAGGGATTCTAGTGGTAGGCCAAACTGGGTGGAAACATACTCGGCAAATTCAACAATATGACGATGAACATCATATTTGTGTCGAAGCGGGAAGGTCCAACAGAAATGACTGAAATCATCAAGCACCACTAAGTAATATTTAAAACCTGAAGTACTCAACACCGGAGAGGTCCACACATCGCAATGGACAAGCTCAAAGGGAACAAAAGTGCAAGAGGATGACCTAACAAAAGGTAATCTGGTATGCTTCCCTAACTGACACGCATGACATAGAGAGGTGTCGATTTTATTATAGGAAATGGAGTGCATATTCCGAAGAATGTGGCGGCCGAACCAAGATGACCCAGATGACGGTGCCAAAGAGTGGAGGAAGTGGTGAGGAAGCAGTGGGCGGCGCTGGAGGGAGTGGCAGCTGGAAGAGTGTAGAGTTCCCCGTGGCTATTGCAACGAAGAATCACGCGCCGGGTCTGAAGGTCCTTAATAGAGAAACCAAATTCATCAAACTCAATGGAACATTTATTGTCGCAAGTAAACTAACGAACAGAAAGTAAATTACGAACTAAGGAAGGGGTGATAAGGATGTTTTTGAGTGCAAATTTGGTGGTTCCTATGGGAAGGAATGATATGCCACGACAAATAACGGGGATAGTTTGAACATTTCCAAAAGTAATAAAGGTGTGGGAGTTAGGCAAGCAAGTTACGAGGATACCGTCAGTGGAGGACATATGAGATTCGCGCCAGTGTCCAAAACCCAGTTATTTGTACTTTAGAATGCCATCTAGTTCAAGGCTGCAATGAGGCTAGCCTGCTCCCAATTGGGCTAGCCTGTAGATGGCCCAGCGAAGGTGGCTTGTGCCTGGGAATAGTGGGCCACCGGAGCCGGCCCAAGAAGACCAGCTGAGGGGAGAAGGGGGGGGGGGGGGGCGCCAGGCCAGTTGCTGGGCCGGCCAAGGGTTAAAGCAAACCCAAGGCCCAGCCGGCCGCCAGCTAGGGTTTCCCTGGCCGCCACCACCCCCAGCCCAGCCGCCGCCACCACCCCCTCCAGAGGAGCCGCGTGCGCCGCCTCCACCCCCACTGCCGCCTCCCCCATTCCCGCCTCCGGTCCAGCCGCCGCCGCCGCCGCTGTCGGTCAAGCCACCGCCACTGCGGCCGCCGTTGCCATTGCAGTTGCGGCGGTTGTTGGTGCCGCCACCGCGGCCGCCAGAGGAGCCGCCGCCTCCAGTCCAGCCGCCGACACCACTCCCACCGTCGCGTGCGCTGCCACTGCCCCCACCTCTAGAGAGGCCGCCGCCACCGGAAGAGGCGTTGCCGCCGAGAGGGCAAGAGGAGCCAGAGGTGGCGCTTGCAACCAGCGCTGTCGCCGCGGCCACCTTGGCCGCGTTCGTGATGCGCAGCTCCTTCAACAGGAGGGTGTTGCATGCCGATGTGAAGCTCAGGAGGACGTCCGTAGCTGCGATGTTGTCGGCGGTGTTGGAGAAGTCGTCATTGAGGCCTCGAAGAAGGTTGAGGACGAGTTGGGACTCAGAGACGGCGTGGCCGACATCGCGAAGGGCGTCAGTGGCAGTCTTCATCTTCTGGCAGTAGTCGACAATGGAGGAATCGCCTTGAATCATGGAGTGAAATTGATGGCTGAGAAAGATCGCTCGAGGCTGTTTGTTGGCGTGGAACATGTCCTCGATGGCGACCCACAGCTCCCGAGTGGTCTAATCTGGCTCCAGAGGTCGTGGATGTCGTCGGCGACTGATCCAAAGATCCAGTTGCGGATGTAACAGTCAGCCTGTTCCTAGGCTGGGTCGTTGGGACGTGGAGGGGCGGAGCCGTCGATGTGAGCCATCAACTCAAACTTGCCGCACAGGGAGGTGAAGAAGGCCTTCCATTTGTTGTAGATTGGGTGGGTGTTCTCCAGGGTGATGGGGAAGTGGGATTTGACGGCGACTGTGGCATAGGGGTGGAGGAACTCACTGGTGGTGCTGGCAGAGGAAACACCACTGGAGCCTGAGGAGGTGGAGGATTGAGTTGATTCAGTCGACATGGCCAGCACTCGCCGAGGAGGCAGCTGTGATGACAGCGTGCTAGAGCAGCGGAAAAGAAGGTAAGAACCTCTGATACCATGTAGAGAAAGTAGAATGGACGCCTCACCAATGTTGGGAGGTTGATCTCTCATATATATAGCTGAATTACAATGAATGCTAGTGCTGAGATACAATCAATACAAGATAGTTACATAAGACCAAAGGTCTAGGGAGAGTAACTATTTGGGAGTGTAAAGGTCTAGGAGACCAACAGCCTATAGATTAATAATAATCCTAATAATAGTTGATCACTAAATGCGGATGTTCTTGAACAAAAAGCTAGCAAAAAGATCTCAAGGTCAAAATAGTACAAAACCAGTCATTGTGCAAGCGCCACATAAAGTGATGAATTTCTTCTGAGTAGCTTGGACCAAGAGACTAGTCAGAAATGACATCCAGATGACTCCCAACCCTACGTTAGACTACTTGAAGTTAGTTTGTCAAGTAGTAGCATGAATTATGATCCATTTGGACTACCTGTGTTTTGGGATGTATATATATATGGAGGAAGCCTGAAACTAACACATCAACTCCTTCAGTGATAAATTTATAGGCTCCTTGTGAAGGTCTTCCCATACCAACATTAAGTCCCCAACCAACAGAAGACTCCCTCAGACTGTGTACTTCCATGGATGTTTCAAAACAAAAGAAAGCAATGATATGAAGATGTCCAGCACATGGTAACAAGCCATACAAACTTCGAAAGTATAGTAAGCAATAGGCTTATTACTTTTCTAATCTGAGCTCTAATTTGCCGCTACAACATACCGCCAATATTATAAGCCGTATGCCGAAGGGGGGAGGGCATGATATAATAACATAGATAATTTAAAGCACTATCCTGACTTAATTTGTTTCTTTGGTTTGGAATTCGTCCCGGTTGAACAATTGAACAGGTTCGAGTATGAACAGCCCAGGCAGTACTTAGGTTTGTATATTGGGTAATTTAACCATCCTTAAAAAGATACTTGAAGATATGTACCATATATTTTAGTCTAAAATTTGGTACCTATAGGTACTAGGTATCTCGAGACACCAAAATTTTAGGGTACTACAGGTACGTCTCAAGGACCTAAAAATTCTCGTGCATATCTTAAAGGCTGTTTTCAGAGAAACCTTTCTAGCTATGTACGAAAAGCTGTAGCATAAACCTTTCGATCTCCATCTCCTACATGATGAGTAGCTTCAAATTTCAAGAGTACTGAATTGGTGCTTTCTGGTAATTGAATGAACATATATTTGTTTGAGCAACAAACTTCTTGTACCACAAATTTTAGTATGAAATCTACTGATCTTTCAGTGGAGGGATTGTTTCACTGGTCCGATTATCTTCAGAATTATAAGAGGCTAGTCTCAAACCTGCAACACCTAACAATGGATATTATAATGTGCTGATGCATTCAACACTGTCGATTCCGACTTCTGAATGTGTTCCGAAATGACTGCGCAATTTCAGCATATTCATATCACTAGGTCAAAGTTAAATTTGCACACTGTCTTAGTAAATTAAATGACATCCAATCAAGTGTGCGACAAACTCCTTCACCGATTCAAAATAGCTAGAATTTGTAGGAGCTGGTGACAATGTTCTGTTGTCTTTCCATACTAGAACTCAAACAGTATGCTAATGTCATCCAGAGCTTAACCGATCACCTTGTACTAGTCTTCAACACCTCAGGTGTGCTGCCACTAAACATCAGATGATGCAGGGGAGCAAGTGGATCACCCGCGAACCCACTTATAGGTCAAAATAAACGAATTCGCGGGTTAGTTTAGCCTATAAGTGGGTTTTCGCGGGTTGCCGCTTGCACCCTTAGATGATGGCCTCGCAATTGAGCAGGCCTTGAAGTCACTCATGAGGAATATTATAACCATCCTGAGTTCTGCGAATAATAAAATGCAAGTCATTTGGACTTTTTTGCTGACATGGAACGCTTGTGCAGTTTACATGTTCTATGAGATGGATGGAATAGAATGCTCAAATTGAACTGGGATAATCAAACTAATATCTCATTGGTTAATGGCATGACATCCTATATGTACTGGTTTTGGTACGATAGCTGATTTGAAATCCAAATACCTCCCAAATACATCACTACTAATAACTCATGCATCACGATTAGCACAAGCGTTTACCCTACCTTAATTAAATTCCTGCTCTTTTAGCTCTTCATCGAAACAGAGCTGTAACGGAGAATTGAGTGACAGGCAAAATAAAATTTCTGACTCATAAGTAGCGAGCTGCCGAGCTAGACAACCAGTCCCTAGCGTCCACTAATTCAAGCGTGCTAGTAGTCTGAAAACCACTAAAAAGTGATGGTAAATTACATGGTCCAGATTTACTTGATGTTAGAAGTGACATCCAGATGACTCCCAAACCCTATGCTTTAGACTACTTGTTGACATCATAGTTTCTCAAGCAGTGGCGTGGATTCGTAAGGACTCCCTGTGTGCCTGGGCCGGGGCTGTATATATGGAAGCCGGAAACCAACACATAAATTCCATCAGTGATAAATAGGCTCCTTCAGATGGTCTTTCTGTGCCAACATCAAGTCCCCAACCACCAGAAGACTCCTCACACTCACAATGTACTCCCATCGCATCCCAGCAGCATGTCCAACTTATTTTTACCCAGTTGCATCACGATAGTTGGACCAGGTGGCACAGGAGATTTTTTTACCTAGGAGCATGAGTGGCGGGCTAGTCTACGGATTGATAGCCACTAAGATATATGTTCTGGTTGTTTCTTTCTTCTTATTTGGCTGTGTGCATTTTTGCAGAGGCCAGGGGTGACTCAGTTTGATTGTATAATCTTGATGTAATTAACTTAGTCTAAATAAAGCTTCCATTATCTAAAAAAGCAGCATTTGATTCAATCTAGAAGCTAATGTCCCCTTTGAATCAAAGAATTTTATGTAGGAATTTGTAGGATTCAAATTCTATAGGAATTTTTCCTATGTGAACATTTGATTCAAAGGATTGAGACTTTCCAAATCCTATAAAACTTCTATGGAATGGTTCACTGCATATAGATTTTGGAGGAAACTTAACCAGAGCTTCAAACTATTGTTGTACACATTAATTAGTTCAGTATGTGGCTCCCAAGCAATTGCTGTAGGCCCTAACCTCTGACGTTTCGACGTGATACCCTAATGATCATCTACAACAATATATGCATGGGGTAAGCTGAGCCGCCGTCATCACCATGAGTTCAAGATCGGAGTGTTCGACAGCTTCTTTTTCTTCATCTTCCGTCAGTCAGGCGTTCCTGCTCTTCAGAATGAGATCATCATCATCTTTTAGACTTCTACAATTTGTTTGTTTTTGTTGAAGTTTCTGATTCATTTGTTCATGCGCACTTATCATTCTGTGCAGGTGCATATAATCCAAAAAATTTTAAACTTGGTTCTTCAGAGATTCGGAATTAGAAATGCTCTAGTTTCTCTGGTTTCTAAAGGTGCATCTTACTGTTACCAAACAAAATCTGAGTTTACCGTAATCTGATTTCAATCACAGTGCAGTCTGATTCCCTTACGTTTGCATTCTCCAACCAAACAGCACCTTAGATGTAGAAAATCCATGTCATTTCCATCCTTATGTAATGGATTGGTTGCCCTGACCCTGAGGAACTCGGGCAGGTTCGTGCTCCAATGGTCCAATATATATTATATGGAAAGCGCCTCCGAACGACCTCCGATCATCGCACGTAGTTAATCACCTAATTTAACAAATAACGTCATGTCTCTCTACGCAATTATCGGTTTGCCAAGATATGATCACCAACCAACAGAACAATTACATTCTGACAATAGTAATTTAGGACTTATCTGCCAGATTGAATTTCACACCAATTACGTACACTTGTTTAATATATTACCGTACGCCTTGTTAATATTGTAGCAATTACTGTACTAATTCCTCGCAAGCAAAGCCCCATCAGCACAGTTTTTCATCTCATGAATTCTGCAGCATTCTTTTTAGATACGTTCTTGGTGATGATACAAAGGTATTGTATGGCTGATGAGTCATTCAAAGAGTAATAACTCAATCGGTAAGGTTCTCTGTGGTTGAACTGCCCACCAGATTTAAGTCCTAGACTCTACACATATGCTCGTATTTACGTACCTATCAATAGTGAGGCGTCTGTCATGACTTTGTCAACTTTGAAATATGCCGGTCCAATCTTTTGAATGTGCTCATAGGAGCAAGCAGGTATACGTATGTGTGTTTATAGGGGTGAGTGTATATGCATTTATGTGATAGTTTGTGTTTTTGCTGTGCTCCTTAAAAAAAAGAGTAAAGCATAACCAATGCTCTTATGTGAAAAACAGAGAATTCAAACCAGCATGCCTTAAATTTCATTATGCACTTAAACAAAGAATAAATATTTGACATCACAATGTATGGTTTCAAATGCAAGTAACTTGAGAAAACGTACGTATTCTCATGCATTTGTGAAATCATTGTCATGATTAATATTTGTGATGAACAATTGGCTATGCAAATGATTTAATTAAAGAATTGGTTTGAGAGTTTGTGTGAATATTGGTGTGAGTGCGTGTGACTAATGTGGGTTAGGTTGTGATATCTGTGCCCAGAAACGGTTGTTTTGTCTGATTGTGTGCAGGTGACTTGAGGTCAGCCTTGGTCAATGGTGAGGACCGGGACTATGTTCAGGGAGGAACAGAGGTCTAGTGCGGTCGGGATACCATGTGAGAAGGTGACTAGAGTCCAGATTCTTGGAGGTCAACTTCGGCCAACGGTGGGGATCGGGACTAAACTCATGGAGGAGTTGAGGTTCAGACAGTCAAGGATACCAGGTGACGAAGTTGGAGAGATCTTCGCAACGGGCTTCACGAGCTGTGCGTGCAAGTGCCGGTGTTCGCGAAGGAGATTGGAAGAAATTAGAGAGAAGTATATGGTGCTACAGTGCTTCGAGTTATTGTAGCAGGTCGTGTATGCATATATGTGTGTATGCTGGTCGTAGCATATGCATGTATGTATGGTGATTGATGCATGCATGTTGTGCCATGCATGTGTGATGGCTCGGTGGGCTTCGGTGGCAGCTGGCTGGAGGCCGAGCCGGTCCAGGAGCAGCGGCACGTCAGCCCACGTGCGATAGGCCCAAGCAGGAGCAATCGCAGGAGATCGAGTCCGATGCGGTTGGCTGCGGCTGTGGGAGTTTTGGTAAATTGTAAAAGGTTTAGAAATTGAGGGATTGAGTCCTATTGTGAATAGGAGTTTTACACCTACTTTGAGTAGGGGGTTTTTTGGTATAAATAGAGAGGGAGCGTGAGCCTTCCCGGTATCGCTTTGAGAGCAATTGAGTTGATAGTTTAATTCAGGTTTCGAGTTTAGTCGAGATTTTTGTAAGGAGTGCTGTTGTTGCACTTTGTAAACACAGAGAGAAGAAATAAAGTTTTCATCTACTTTGAGAGTTCTTCGATTTGTGTTTCTTCAGGTTCAGGCGGCAGGGAGGCGGTTCGACTGGCGGCGTACGAGCGGTCCGACCGGGGGCGATAAAACTACGTCGAGATTTCCATCGATTTGAGGGTAACTTTTATTTCCGTTAAAAGTTTTTGGGTTTTTGGTTTTGCCTACCATTCACCCCTTTCTGGTAGGCTTGGTTGCTTGTGTTCGATCCTATAAGTGGTATCATAGCCTCGTTTTCTTCTTTGGATTTTTATCGATCTAAAGTTTTTGCCATGGCTGCTCCTGTTAGGTTTTCAACTAAACCTCATGTTTTCGATGGAACGGATTTTTCTCATTGGTGTAGTAGGATGCAATCTTACATTATGGCTGAAGATTATGATATTTAGAGAAAAGTTTCTCATGCTTATGTGATTCCTGAAGCTATTAATACTGCTGCTGAAAAAACTGCTTTTGAACAAAATTGCAAAGCTCGCAATATTCTTTTGAGTGGGATTTCTCGTTCGGATTATGATCGTGTTGCTCATCTTCAAACTGCTCATGAGATTTGGATTTTTTTGAGTAATTTTCATCAAGGAACAAATAATATAAAAGAACTTCGTCGTGATCTTTTCAAAACGGAGTACATTAAATTTGAGATGAAACCTGGAGAAGCTTTGGATGACTATATTTCTCGGTTTAATAAAATTTTGAGTGATCTTAGATCTGTTGATTCTTCTTATGATGCTAATTATCCACAATCTAAGATTTTTCGCCACTTTTTGAATGGTCTTGACATGTCTATTTGGGAGATGAAAGTTACATCTATTCAGGAGTCTGTGAATA